CTAAATTAGATTGCTATTATTAAATTACTATTATCTGAACTAAATTACTACGAAGTTCATCGTAAAATTCAACTCTATTTTACAAATCTATATCCATTTTTCTAAGAACATTTCTAGATTTCATAAATCTATCCATTTCTAGTTGTAGAGCGTCTAAAACCATAAAATAAGAGTAATTCCATCTAGGATTTGTTTCCTTGGGGCCAGCGTGACAATGAAACATGAATCAGTAACATTGCTTAAACAAGACCGATTTCCCTTATAAATATTTTAGGAACTTATATTTTCTACGCACATAGTGATATTGTAACTTATATTTGTGTACGTGTGTGTCTATGTAAATGCAAAAATAAAATCGTATGTAATAACTTTAGGAATATAATGGAGCAGTTTACCAAACAGAAAAGGTGGGAAAAGCTTGAAAATTTACTCTATGGTCTTTAATAATTCACTGGACGAAGGTATGACCTTTCTAGACTTTATCTCTAGACGTCTCTAGAACATACACTTATCTATTTCTAGTCTTTACCATACACGGAGCCTTTTTATTCGAAACAAAAAAAAAAAAAAAAAAAAAAAAAAAAAAAAAAGTTAATTTATTATTAATATTTATTAAAATCAGTTAAAATACTAATTTTCGAAAGAATAATTATAGCAAATTATTCTTTCAAATTCAAGTTCTTAAATTATTTATAATTAAGTGCAAATTTAATAAGAATATGTACATGTATAAATATGAGCATTAAATAAACATTCAGTTATATTAAGTAATAGGGCATCTCCTTATGGCGCTTTGTAACTTTGAATGTTGTAAGATAAATGTATATTTAAAGTTCCGTTTCGAGAATGTAATATATTTCCGAAGAAAGGAAATAATATATGAATGAAAGACGATAAATCAAGTGAAGTACAAAGTTTATTACAAACGATACACACAAAGCACTTGAAATGAAATTCGTCGACGTAACTTAACAGGTCGTATCTATGCATCTATAATATCATAATTTTATGTATATATATATATATATTATACAATCGTTCTTGAAAAAGGAATGATAGTTCTCTCTTGTTTTTCTCTCGCGACGTCTTGCGCCATGAAACTGAGGAAGACCACTTTTGTGTTTGACGATTGAATGCTCTTGCTACAATAAGCAAGTCCCACGAATTTCATAAATAATATTTTTAAAAAAATCACACTATTTACACTATATTACTCACTATACACAAATTTCATTTGCCGATAAAATAATCTAAATTGAATTTAAAAAATCAGAAAAGAGAAGGATTCCCAAGTTGCATTTTAAAAATTTATTTGAGTTAATAATTTAATTATTTGAATTTCTTTGAAAGGTTTTCAAATTTCGTGCTTTTTTTTCCTCTTATTAATAATTTATTTAAATATGTAATACAAATTTGTTTACTTGCTTCAGACAGACAATATAATATTTCGTTTAAGTGGGCTTAAATGTACAACACCTTTGCATTAAAATACAAAATACTGTAGAAACTGTTTGATAAAGTAATCCATTTCGTAAATTTTCCAAAGCCTTCTTTCAAGTTAAAAAGCACTTATGATGAAGCAAGTGTTTAATTTAGTACATATTACAATTAAGTTCACATTGATATCAATTAGATATAAATCATTTTATGAAAAGTAACTTTAAGACCTAATTAAAGCATGATTATTTGTACGATCGTTTTTATGAATGTTTGATGGAACTTATGAACTCCATCAACTGTGGACTTTCTGAACTTTATTTTTAATGAAACTTCATTTTATTTTTAGTCCTTTATTCCTCTTTCATGTAAATGCGTTTGAAAAAGTATACTTTTAAATCCTGTATTATAACATTAAAAATGTAATTAATCTGGATATTATAATTTAAAATTAAAATAAATCTAGTTAATGATAAATGTGGGGCGATACCTGCTAACCATTAGTAAAGATCAGATGTCTCCCTTCATCGTCAACTGAACTGAACTGATACGAACATTTCCCTTACGTTATTGATGTACGGGAAAAATGGGACTTTGAATATGCAGTTGTTATGTATATCTTAATGTATGTTTTCAATGCGTTACAAAATTTTTCACTGATACGCACTAAAAATATTTCATAATATTGTATTTATAGTTATATTGGTCAGAAAACTTTATTAATACATTTACATCGTTCTTATATTTCAAATTCTTTCTGAAAATGTTTTTATTTACTTTTTGAGCCTACCGGGAAGAAAAAAATATTTAAAATAACAGGTAAGTATTTTTTTATTATTTTCATTATTTTCTTCTAAGTGAAAATTTAAATTTTGCTTAAAAGAGATTATTGCGTTTTAAATCATTTGTCATGGTATATTTTTAATTTGATTCATCAATGCTGTCGTGGCTTGCATAAAAACGACTCGTTGATAGTTTTTGTACAGCAAAACTGTCCTCCTAAATTTATCTAAATTTTAATTTAAAATTAAAATAAATACCTAAATTCTCTTAATGTATATCAACAAAAGTCTTACTGTTTCTAAACTAGATTAATAGAAGATGTGTAGGTCTTTATTTCTTTTTCGATTTAGAGATACATATTCTAGCTTTTGAATACTAGCTGCAATCGCAAAAAATAAGCAAATTATAGTAAAATTTTAAAGAATGGAAAAATTAAAAAGAAGGAATATAATTTGTGCGCAATTAATTATTGAGGAATTCTGGACAATCTTCGGTTTATTTAAGGAATATGCATGTCTTCTGATGAATTTGATACAACAATTATGTTTTCTTAATTCTTTTCACCAGTTTCAGCTATGTTGGAAAAGAAAACTAATGACTAAATTAACAGTGATTACTAAAATATTTGAACTAGTTACCTAGAATCTTTGAAATACTTATAGAAAGATATTTAACTGGAATTTTTTGTTTTCCCGCCTGTACTCGCTGTTACGGAGTCAAAAACTTAATAATTAGACGCTGTTAAGTTTACTTCTTGTAATGCCACTATCAAATAGTAATTTATTGTAAGCAAAAACGTAATTGTCCTGTCCTTATCGTCTCTGTGACTCGCCAGATTTAACACTTTCTTGGCCCTAAAGTGAAATTTTACTTTAAAAAGAATAGTTTACAAGAGTATTAAAAATTAAGGAAGATTTCATGAGAAAATTAAAGAATACTTCAACAATTTATTTCTTCAAAATAACCAGAAGCTTCAGTGATGTGAAGCTTCGTAAATGTTCTGCATATGTTTTCCTGGAGGCATTACTGCTATTTAGATTCCTAAAATAGTAGGAAGATTAATAAGATAAATATTAGATTTTAGAGAATAAGGTATAGATTTAGATTTTCATTTATAAGAATCTATGAGATCTTTTGAATGAAATAACAACTTAATGTTCTAAATTATAGGCTTGAAATATTTAAAATGTATGTTTAGAAAATGCCCATTTTTTATTTTTAGGTCATTATTTTACATTGTACTTTCAATATCGAAAGTCAGAATTTTTTAAAAAACCCAATTTAAATTTGACATTGCTTTGTGTTTCGAACCAAGATTTCCTATAGCAATTTTAGCAAGCAAATTATATTACCTTCGAAACATTATTAACATATCTAATATTCACAATACATATTTTGATTTATATAATTTTTAAACCAAACGTTAATATCAAGAGGCCAAAAAAATCAAATACTGTTGTTATACCTTATTCATTTATGGTATTATGTTGGTATTTTTAAACATTTATAAAATATTTGCACCCAGAAAAGTTCATTTTGAAATACTTATATTAAATAAGGTAATAATTTTAGTATTTCAGCTCTATTCAATGTTTTGAAGTTTAATTTAGTTTCAGATATTTCTCAATTTAGTTTTGAATGTAATTATTTGAATGTAATGAAGAATTTAATTATTTTTCTTATAAATTTTATAAAATTTAAAATATAAGTATATCTTCCTTCTCTATTCCAAAATATACTGATACCAAAATGTAACTTAAAATAAACCAACATAAATTTATGGTTTCATGTATCATTTTCATATCAATATTTTTACAAGAACATAGCGAGTGTTTTCATTTTACAATTAACACTGATATATTCTACTAGGAAAATAAACTTTTTCTACGTGGAAAAATAAAAGCAATCATGTTGACAGATTATTTCTAATTAGTATTCTTGGAAGAAAGTCTAAGCGCCGAAGCATCTGTTTTTAAAATCCTATGAAGCGTATAAATATTAAATAGTTAAGTTTTAATATGTAATCCTGTGCGCAAGTAATGGTATATTCGACATCGTGATCACATTAAAATGTACAAGATTGGACGACTCCTTATGGCACAAATCATATTTTATAGTGATTGTTTACATAATCAGAAATGTTTATATTACATACATATCTAATATACATGGCATATGAATATTTTATCTCTTCTTGCAATTTGCTGAAACGGTAGAAGCAAATTTTGGCACATCAGATAACAGCAGCCTAGTCGTCTTTTATTATTTCAAGTAAACATCACCATATCACAGATTTCAAATTCTTCTCTCAATTTGTCTAGGGAACCATGTGTGTATGACAAAGATTGCCGTTCATGTATTGCTATAATAATCAAGAACACAAATTTTTATAATCAGAAAGTTTCTGGACCTAACAATTTTTATAATCAATGCGTTTTTTGGCTTTGTTTCGTAATTTATATAGAAAATTCTTCAGTTATAATAAGATGAATTATAAAATATGTTTTTATAAAATTCGTATAACTTAAAACAAACCGGAAGGAATTTATTTTTAAAATTAAGATGATCTACAAAATGCTAAAACAACCTAATTAAGCTATTTAAAAAAAAATATGTTCTATTGAAAAGCGATAAAATTTAATATTTTATCTTACGGATTTAAAAAAAATTAAGTTATAAAATTCAATTTTTTTTTTATCAGAAAATTATTTTAAGTTTTTTTTTTTTTAAACAAAAATAAAATAAATTCTAAATCCAGTCATGTTTCATAAAAGATTTTAAGTTATAAACTTTAAAGTATAAATCTTGTACATTTTTAATTAATAAAAGGTAATAAAAATTTCAATTTCATAAGAATTAATAATTAAAAATAGTCCCATTAAATTTTATCTTTGCATAGTTTTTTTTTCCTTCATTGAAAATTAAATCATGCAAATTATAAGTTTTTGAATTTTAACGAAAGACTTAGACTTTTTAACTAAGGGCTCATGCGGATTTACAGTTTGAGTTTATACAATAAAAATGCAAGCAACTATTTTCTTTACAAATGGTAAGAGAATAGGTATACTATTTGATCATTAACTAAAATGTACACATAATTTTATGAAAGAATATATTATTTAGTTAAATGCAACTCAAATAATTACTGTAGGATTAGAAATACGTTTTGTGTAAAATTACATAGGCAGCAATTGAAAATCTATACTTTTAGCATTAGTTGTTGACTCGGCAAACACAAGGGAATAATTTAATTCAACAGTAATTAGCATCCTGTTACATTCGTCAAATCAAAAAACGTGATTTTAACGTGTTATGGAATTAATTTTATACAGTTACATATAAATGTGGTTATAAAATAAATATAAATACGTCATATAAAACTTATTTTGATTAAAGTAATCAATTAAAAATATTTAAGACATAAAGCAAGAATTTCCTTCTTTTGTAAATTTCTTCAGCACATTCTTGACTCAATTAAAAATCAATAATAAATGCATAACCATTTTTGAATATGATATATTTGAAACTAGAGTCCCTTATTGCTTAGTTCAACTAATGCTGAAAAGCAGGCATTATTTACTTTTTCAAATATGGAAATGTTTTCATAAAACTTCTGAACTGGAACCCGTTTTCTAATTGTATTAAATGCATGTTTGTTACAGCAATTAGTGAAAATCACCGTTAATGATTTCGAGAGTTAATGCCAGTTAATGGCGAAAGCTTTTTTGTTTTAAGTGATGAAGTTTCTCCTTTAAAATTTTTCATTGATTGTTTGTTTGCTGCTGTTGTAAATTGTTTCTAATGTCCTCGTAAATTCCTTTCATGCATTTCTGCCTCTCTTCTGATTGCAGCCACAGACAGACGAGGTCGCTGGAGTCTGTGGTGGCAGGATGACGTCACTGCAGCCTAGTCCAGTAGTTCGATGCCATATTCAAGTCATTGGATTGTCCAGGAACCTGGACAGGGACTGAGACTCCTGGAGATATAAACCTTAAAAAAAAAAAAAAAAAAAAAAAAAAAAAAAAAAAAATTGTTATATTTCCAAATTTTACACTTGAATATTTTCCCAAATTTTCAAACGTTACCATTCACAAACATAGAACTTCCTCATTTTTTAACTTATAGTAAAGAACTGAACGTTGAAGATATTGATGGGAAATATGCTTAAAAATAAGCCAACTAATAAAAACCAATTAAAAAACTTTAATTTAGTTAAAAATGATGTAAAAGAATGTAAAATAGCTCTTATGACATATTTTTGTGAAGCTTGAAACATACAAATGTTGTCAGGCAGGTGACAGGTGGAAGCGGGTCCGGACAGCAGAGCGGCTTAGATACACTAATTGGGTATTTTCCGGATCCCGCAACTGTTTAGTGCAACAGCTCCGGCGCCCCACAAGGAACGCATGATGAGTCTAATGTTGTACGGCGGTAAAATAACTAATCTAATAAAAATCAAATGAGTAAAACTGAAGAAGCGAAAAAATGAATTTTCCTACATAGGGTTTGTTGCCTATCATGTTAATTTATTTGCACTTATAGATCTGTCGCTAGCTTTTTTTTTTTTTTTTTTTTTTTTTTTTTCCCTATTAGTTGCAATTTATATTACTTTTCCATCTTCTAAAAAATTATTTTGAAAAACAAATTTTTTTTAAACATACTGATATAATTTAATCCATTGAATTAAGGTAGTAATAAAATTGCCTTCATTCAGTCGATTACATCCTATGATATGTAAAAAAAAAATTTAAATGCTTCCTTTTATAGATTTATTACACAATCTACGGCTCTTGCTTGGTTTATTTACTCACATACTGCTAGCTCTTTACAAGTATTCATAGTTAATTATATTTTTGTCTAAAATTTTCAGCCTCATTTATTCATCTTGCTTTTTTCCCCGCGTATTTCTAGTCACGCAGGAATGGAGATTACAGCTTTGTAATCGTATATTAAACATTTATTAGTTCATTACTTTTCTTTTTCCCTAAATTTGCCAAATTACATAAGCTATACATTCAGAGATGTGACTGGTAATAATTGACACTGAATGTCATACGATCTCTCCCTCCTCTCAAAGAGATAGAAAATGATAGACAATTTTTATTATCCATGGATTTTATATACATGGAGTTTTATATATATATATGTACAGGGTGAATATATATATGTTGGCGTGAGCATCGGCCCTTTTTTATAAACCATTTGCAATCCGATCTAGCGCCTTGCCTTTTGCGTTCCGTCCAGACTTTCTATAATGAATATTGCTTGTATAACTGCGTTATATCACCCCATAAAGTTTTGAGCACTTTTTCAGATTCACCCCGTATATATGTAAAGAGTGCTAAAAAGATGATAAATAGAAATTTAAAAGTGGGATGGATTCAATGCATTTGGATTCTCACTCTAGGGCATGAATGACTATTTCATTAGCTTACGCCACCTCAGAAGAGAAAAATACATCGTTCCATTTTATAGTCTTCAGCCACACAAGACTTGCACTCGTTTAGGCATATTTAGTTTCACATGAACACAAATGAAGAGTTTGCTATAAATTATGCATCAGACTAAATCAAGTTGAAATCATATCGCCGTCATATTTTCTAAATTTGAATTGGAAGATCAGAAATAGGCAAACAGTTTTAACCGAAATATCGCCACTTGTTAGAAAATTCTGACCCGGATTAAAAGTTTTAGAGGCTCCAAGCACTTAAAAGATTATGGTGCTCCCATCACTCCTCATATTTGCGCCAATGTTTTTCCCTCCATTTCTTCTCTCTTGTTCTTAGTCTAACTGCACCATGGAATCATCTTTTCATGGTAAAATTGGCAGTATGAAATTTTTGTGGTGCCGACTTTCTTAAATACATGTAAGCGCATGCACATTTTTTAAAGGTTAATCCAGCTGTGAAAAACTGCAAAGGTTGCAAAAAGCGATAAAAAGAATTCGGTGATGAACATAAATAAAATATGCTCATTATTTTGTAAAATTAAAAAAAATTAACTAAAAGTTTAAAATAAAGTGTTTTTATATCTCAGTCAATTCTTTGACTATGCTGATCACAAGTACGAGTATATCCATCAAGTTGCGATCTTGAACAATTTTTTGAAACGCGTGTTTTGCATCTAATAACAGCAGACATTTACAAAGAAAAATATTGTAAATACTAAAATTTAGCATCTTAGAAATTTGTAAACTTTTTAAACTGCTAATTAAGAATACCTTTATTTAGTAATTTACTTGGCTAGTGAAACTTTTTTCCCTGCCTTTGATTTAAAGATTTATGCAATTTTCATGTATTTCTAACCGAATCCATTCACTCTTTAAAATGGTAAGTAACTCTTGGGATTTAAAAGCCCACCAACGACCAAGCAGTTAAGTCTGCTGAACACTGATCTTTCCACCTGGTTCAAATTCCAGCGAATACACAGCCCGCATGGCGTACTCGGCGTCTTACCATTGTGTAACATAAATACGAATTAATTTTCGTTAAAAAGGTCGCCATTAAGCCCTTCCTTATCTTAAGCAGACAGCCTTATTCAAATGATCAAAACAAACCAAATCGTGTAATGTAACTTCGATATTTTTTTTTTCCAATGGCGGATTGTGAACAATTACAAATGTAACCCAGTTCATTAATCTATACAAGGCCGGATGTGGTGGTCTCTTTATTATGGAGGCACCTAATAGGTGGGCCACCATCGCCTTTCCCATGAAGGGACGGACAGTTACGACCCTGCCTTCTCCGGGATTCGAACTCAGGCCCTTCGGCATCGCAGTACCTTCCCTGACCACCATACCCACTGGGCGGCTGTAACTTCGATATAATTTGATTCATAAATTGTAAGCAATTTTCATAGAACAGGACACTTGGACAGATGATTCTAACTATATAGTTTAATGCGAGGCGAGTATTAACTAACATTCATCGAAAATATGCAGGAGATATCAATGGGAAATGTTCAACTGAAGGTTCTTGTAAATTCTTTTAGGGATTTATTTTATATTATCAAGAGAACGAACTTATTTTTCGAGAAAGACGGGACGTTTTATACAGCAGGATTCAGAATGCTCCCTTCATGGACTGTACCATATCATTTCAGAAGGCAACGATAAATTTAACCCAGCACCATACAATAAACTTAAGAAACAATTTACCAGATAGTATTCAGCAGAATCTTAATAATCTCTTTGTAGACAACTAGATCAGCAGAGTAAAAATCTAAACAAGTTGAGTACTAATTTAATGTCCAACCGAAAAAGGCCTTCTGCCACTGCCAAAAATATTTCTGCTGATTGATGTTTTGGAACAAAATAGGAATAACGATCAAAATTTACTTTCTATGCGAAATAAAAGAGCATTAGTTCATTTCTTTTGCTTAATTTACGCCTCGTTTTGCTGTTATATATTTCATTAAGTGAAGTTTTCTGTATTTTTCTCCTGATAAAATTAAATATCTTGTTGAAAAGAACTGTTTTGGAAACGATTCCTTTTTAAAGCAATCTAAGTCTCCTATAAAGCTATGTTTACAAAATGCTATTTAAAAACACATCTCCCGCTCTACTCAGAGGATACCTGCATATCAACTGCAAAACAGTTCAGTCAGAAATTCTGTGCTAAAACACAGGCAGAGGTAGCTGTAGTTTAGAAGCAATTATGATGGAATTTCAGTGTAATCCAATCATTACCTGTTGATGCTGCGCTGCCATTGTTGACACTGGGGAATTGGCTGTTGACGGGTTGCATGACATGCGGTTGCGCCGTGGGGCAGGCCGGCCGCGTGTAGTTACCGAGGGACAGGGGATCGTAACTCCTCGCACTCCCCGGGGGCAACATACACGAGTACGTTGTCGTCTGTTGCTGCAGGCAAGAGCTGGGTGTCATGTTCGTGGAGTAGGTGGGCATTGTGGGTATCGTACTGCAAAGAAAGAAAAGTAGTTGAATATTAGAGTAAATAATACTAATAAAATTTAAAATAATTAATTAAATAAGGGAAAATAAATTTAAAATAATTAATTTAAAAATATAAAATTAAAATCTGAAGGTTTCAGATTTTAAATTACGTCCAAAGGAGCGTTTTTTTAGCTTTTGGTGTGCTACCTTTATTTATAAAATATCATGTTCTTTGCACTTAAACCATAAAATTCAGTTCAATAGCAGTGTCGCAAAATAATTTTAAAATAAGCATATCTTTAGAATTTCCGATACACAGTTCTGCGCGCTGAAGATAAAAAGGGTTTTTTTCCCCTCCCGTAGAGTGTTGCCATTGCTCACTTTTAAATCATTGACTTTGTTAATCAAAAATTCGTTAAAGTTTCATAAAATATGAAATCGATTATAAAACAAATTCCAAATTTCAAGTTTGGTCTTCCACATGCTCAGATTCGTAGGAGGATTACGTCATTCTAATTTCGATGGCTCTAGGAACCGTTGCTTTATCACAATGCGAGAAATATACATATATTTATGCATATTTTTCATTATTTATTTTTTTCAAATATAATGCGGTTTCTAACATTTGATGGAAACAGTTTAAAAAGTTAAACGGACATGTATAGTCTTTCAATGCAAAATCGCAAAACGAAAACTGTAAGTCCTTCAACGACAAAGGCCCTTTGGACTAATAATATGACAATAATAAAAAAACTAATTAATAAGAGCTTCTCACTGATACTAGAAATTATAAATAAAGTATTGCTTATTAGAATAGATTTCATATGTACGTTTTTAAATGAAAACATAATACTACTAAAATTGGAAAAGAGTAAAATTAAAGCATAAACAGACAGAAAATATTTCTTTTCAATCTAAAGACCAAGTCTGTTCTATAAAGTATAGACACACTGACAGACGAAATCTGTTGTCTAGAGTACAGATACACTGACAGACGAAGTCTGTTGTAAAGAGTACAGATATACTGACGAAAGTATTGAGTCGAAATACTTATTGAAATGACGAAATAAATTTCGACTGAAAACTTTTGTCATAGTATTTCGGCTATCAGACAACCTGAAACTGTGCGGCTCCTTTTAGTAAAAAATTAACTGCTAATTTTGCTCACTAATTAATTATACTTTTTTTAAAATTTGAGATCATTGTATAGCTACTTTTTCTCCCGACTTAGACAAACATTACGTTATCAGTATTAGCATGTGACATACATTTTTACACCAATGCATTATAACTTGTTTCAGCGTAAGAAATTTTGTTCACGCTTTCAAATCTGCACAGAAATTTTGTTATTACTCAGAACAATAAAAGATTTAAAATTATTAAAACGGGTTTTAAAGTCGATGTACTAATCTATTTTTTAATAAAGTGGCAAAATTCAACTAGGTTTTGAATTAAATTTCAATAAATTTTCTCTCACAGTAAATGTTTTGCTCTGGGGGAACACTTTCGTTATATTTTACAGATCAGAATTATCAGCAAATCACTCGAGCTATATAAATATACTGACATAATAGTTATATTACATTTGTATGTAAAATGTTCCACTTCGCACAATGATGCACTTTTGAAAGTTGTTGTTTTCAGGTGTGCGACCTTTTTTCTCCTCAGAAGAAACTGAATATTTGCTTAAAATCAATTGCTCTGAGACTTATTTTTTTTTCAAACAATAACAGTAACTCGAATATCGCGAGCCAAAGTATTTAGGACTCTAGTTTTTGTACACTTAATTGTACTGCGTCAACTAAAACTTTAATATGTGATAAGATTGTGAATACGATCGTAATTATAATTTCTAAGCCAATTTTTTCATGAAAATAAAATAAAAAAAAATAATAATAAATTAAAAAAAAAAAAAAAAAACTAGAATTTTCTAAAACTGATGATGATCTTTTCGTTTTTACTGCTAAAACTTGTTACTTTACCTGATTTCTTTTTTGATTATGTTTCTGTTGATGCTGCACTCAAGCTATATATTTGTATAAGTATTCAAAACTGTTGTAATATGAATTTTCTTGGATTTCAAACAAACGAAATGGGAAATTGAGCTTTTAATATTCTTCAGTTTGTACTTCGAATCCGGTCATTTTGCTAAAAAGTCGACTTCATTTCATACTTTCGTATTCCATGCATTCATCTTTTTATCCAGAACTCAACTAAAGGCTGTTGTAGAGGTTCTTTTTATCTGGAGTAAGCGGTTAAAAAGTTTTCATCTCAACGCTAGGAAAAAATACTCTTTCTTTTTGAGCGGTTATGAGAATTCAGTTGTTATTTCATTCTTTACATCGTTTAGCTATAAAATTCCACGTATATTATATATCGTAAAAATGTCGCCTTGTCTTTAAAAAAAAAAAATCGCTGTTTAAAGTAATGAGCGATATTCTAATTTATACGTACAAAGAATAGTATTTGAACAGCAAATGTTTCATGAACGTAAAGATTCGTGATAAAATAATACCATTGCTAACAAAACACAACTAATTGAAGGGATGCTGATCAGGTATATGAGTATTTACAAAAAAGCATAAAAGAAAAATGGAATATGAAAGATAATTTAAAAATAAATCGATAGAAGAAAATTACGGAGAAACAAGTAATTATAAGAAAGAAGAAGAAAGGATTTAAAAGTGCTTAAAGGAAATCAAAATAGGCAAAAATATTTACTTTAGATTGGCCTAGATTTTGAATAAAACTTCAGAATAATTGGATTAGGTTTAAATTTTGAATAAATCGATTTCAAGGACAGTCAGGCACAAATCCCTCTAGTTAAAAAAAAAATGTTTCGTTTCTGAAGAAGAGGAGGCTGCGTTATGTTTAATCGCCCTCAAAATCGAAGAAGTTTTGTTCAAAATTATGCCAGTTTAAGATTGCTTTTTTTCCTAATTTTAAATTTTGTATTCGTATGTTTTTCTCTCAGTTATAGGAAAGCTTTAGAAAAAATAATTTGAAAAATTATTGATGCATTATTTAAAATAGTATTGTAAATTTTCAAAAAATAGAGAGTCGTTTGGTTATATCGATACAGGAGCTCGAAAATTGTGCAGCGCCCTTAATGAGATTCTAACTTTGGACCTCCCGAATTCGCATCGAGCGGGCTTCTAGTTACGAAGTTGATGCGAAGAAGCACGCTCGATACGAAGTTACTTCTTAACTAGTTATTAAGATTAGTTATGAAGACTAGTTTCGAAGGCTACGTAACGACTAGTTACGTATGCATACGGAAAAGACGAAGAATAAGAAGATATGATTTAAAAATGAGAAGGAAAAAAGAAAATACATATAACATTAGGTAATATATATATATATATATATAAAACAAATAAATGTAAAATAATTTATATATATATATATAAAATTAAGTAGGTACAGAAATAAATATAAAATTCAATTGTTATTTTTAATATTCAAACTTAAAAATAGCAACCGAAATTCAAAAATAATAAAGTGCCCAAAAGTGTTCAAAGGAAAATATTTGAAATAATGAATCGATAGGTAATAATTAATTATGAAACAAAAAAAGTAACAATAAAAATCCTAAACTATAAATTGTGTAGAAATGCACTAATAACTACTATATTAACTGCAATTCTAAGGAAGAAATGCAATACTTATGGTTCAAAATAAGTGAAAGAAACAAATAATTAGAGAAAATTGAAATTAATCGGTTATATGAATCATTTTTAGTTTAAATGAACAAGGGAAAATGCTTTACAGAATTGAAGAAACAATGCAGTTATATGCAGAGTAGTGCGAGAAAATAGAGAAGAATCCAAAAAGTATACGAACCCACACCTGTATGTCTCTGCCATGCTTGCCATGGGTTGTCCTATGCTAGGGTAGAGAGAATTAGGGAAGCCCGTGTTGAGAGGAAGTCGCCCGGGCGCCGTGCTCACTGACGCCGCTGCTTGTTCGGCCGCTCTCCGCTGATTTCGAAGCTTTTCCTCTCGCCGCCATTTCGCCCTGCGGTTCGAGAACCAAACCTGTCGAGAAGCAAATAATTATGGTTTCTGAGAAAAATAGAGCTCTATTGTGGATGTTTAAATTTGATCTCAGAAAAATAATAGAAATGCTTAAAGATATCTTTATCTATTCTTGAATGTAAAAACACTCAAACTTATATTTCATTGAATTAGAGTGATTTTTCATTAAATTGTTGCTCGAAAACAATAACTTTTTTTCCAATCGCAGTGCAGAGGGAACATATTGAATTGAGTGATATATTTATTGTCTTCAAATTATTTTGTATTGTACATTAATAAACATGTCAAACATATTCATTAACTTAGTAATTATACATCTCAATATTCTGTATCTTTATATATTTAATAGCAAATTTAATTTTGATGGACGTGCTATCTATTTGGGGCTTTAATGATAGCCCACTTAATATTTTAAAAATGGGGTGTATCTTGGAGATTTATGTTATGTCCTTTAAAAAAATAGTAAATATGAGAAATATGAATTATCTATGATCCTGTTAGAGACACTTAAAAACATTTTTAAACATGTACCCGAAGAAACCAAAAATAATAAATAATTTTAAGCATATAATCTAAACTTCTTTATTTCTTTTATATATATATATATATATATATATTTTTTATTTGTGTAAATAACTGAGCGTAGATGGGGTTATAGCAAATTAAGCATGTCTCTTCTAAATCACTAAAATATTACTGTGAAACTATTGCGACACTTATGTTGATAATTAAAATGGTTTAGCTACTGCATTATAGAAAATTTTGTTGAGTTACATAAATATTGTATTGTTACATTTTTCGATCTTTGCCAATAATAATGCTACAAAAGATACACAAAAGCTGCATAGTAGACTACCGATTAACTCGAAACATATTAACCAAAACTTGTCTTAAAAAAATGTTAAGTTTGCTGCAGAACTATGGGAAAATCATTATCACAAATCATTAAGAAGAATGCAAAATTTCAGTGAGAAATACAAAAACAGAAAATACTTGCGATAACAGCAGTAGTAACAGAGAGCGTAACAGTTGGTAAGAATTGTTTTAAGCAGCAACAATGTAAAATTTAATTTTACATAACCTGGTATACAAAAATACTGCTAAATCATGAATTAAACATAAACTGCTAAATTGCAAAAGTAATTTAAGTTTTTAATCTTTTGCTTCCCATCAAGAGGCAAAAGAAATATTGACATTGATCTTCCTGTTCCGAAGTGTGTTCTTGTTTTGAATGCTAATTTAATTTAAGTAACGTCATTAAGTTATTCTCCAACTTAAAATGCTTAGAAATATAAACGAATTATTAATAATATATTTTCTGTTAACTACAAATATGAGTTATCATTTTTTTAACTACTGTCGGATTAACCGTGATTTTAGTTAACCGTGGACATTGTTCTTAGTATTACATCGGTTAATTGAGAACTTATTGTTTATGCAATCTTCTGCGATTTTTCTCAGAAAGAATGTTGCTAATATTTCAGAAATCAATATGCTTGTTTAATGTAAGTTATTTATGAAAATTTATCCAAAACTAATAAGCAAAAAGAAAATCGTAAAAGCAGTTATAAATGAACAACAAAAATGTGACTTCTAAATAAAAGTAAATAAAATTATATTTTAGTTATATATTAAATAGTACTACTTAATTCATTCGATAGCAGAATTTAACGTATAGCATTTTCTGTAACTAGTAAACTATTACCAATATTGTCCAAATGTCGTCCGTTGGCTTTTTCTTACACCGTTGGCTTCTTAAGGGAAAGCCAATGGACTACATTTCTTTAAATGAAGTTCAAAAATTATTATATAATAAGCTTCTAAGTATTAAATACAACATCGATTCAGGAAAAATCTTAACTGCTTGGTACAGCATAATTTAAGTATAGGATGATGTAAATCTCAAAACCAAGAATAGTTATCATACCTGTATTCTTGCTTCAGGGAGATCAATTTTTGCTGCCAACCTCTCTCTAGCAAAAACATCGGGATAGTGCGTTCGCTCGAATTCTAAATTTAAAAAAAAAAAGATAAAATTGTAAAGTAAATTTTTTATGGAATAAAATGTTTTCCAGAAAGTAATAACTATTTGATTAAAAGTTACCGTAGCAAGAATAGTAATTAGTGAAACAGAAAAAATATGGCAACGCTAAGATGATTACGATTTCATTTTTACAATCGCAGAGAATAGATTGGTTTAAAAATAAAGGTGATCATAAAGGTGATCGCAATGCAAAAGTAACCCTTTGTAACTTAAGCAGAAGTTCTAAGTTATGCTCTGGCGTTATCAACTTCCTGTTGCCTCTATTCGTCTCCTCTTCTTTCTCCGTATGAAATGTTTTGTTTTTATTCTGTGACATTCGTTAATTTTTTTTTAACTTTCAGTGTAATTAAATATTCTTAGACAGAATTATGGGTACTCATGAGAATTCTAGATACATAGCAGCTTTTAATTTAAAATAAACGTTAGTGTGTAATAATATTGACGATCGTTTAATGAAATTAAATAGTCAGTCAGTCATTCACAACATATAAAAGAGTGTCTGAATGAAAGATTACATTATTGGTGAATTTTGAAAGTAAACTGCTCTGAGTTACACTACCATACTACCTCTGTTACAGCAACGCAAATATTGATAACAGTATTACCTTTCTCGAGAGCTTCTATCTGTTCTGGTGTAAAAGATGTCCTGTTCCTCTGGAGTTTCCTCTTCAGTCGTAACCTAGCTGCGGAATCCTCCTCACCGCTACCACTTTGATCGCTAGGGGTGGAGGCTTCTGTTACACTACCTTCTGTAAAGATTAAACATTTAGTTTAGCACCTTTATCAACAGATCTAGAAAGAAGTCTAATAGTATTTTAACACCGATGCAAAGCATACACTTTACTTCTAATTAAAGAAGTATCACATTGTAGATTCGAATGTTGTGCAAGTCGACTGATAATGTAGAATATTTCTAACACTGTTTTATTAATAAAAGAACTTAAAAACAAATTGCAAAAATACCTGAAAGGTTTCATATTTTAAATCACGTCCAAAGAGGCAGTTTTTTAACATTTTGTCTGTTACCTTTATTTATTAAATATCACGTTCTTCGCACTTAAACCATAAAATTCAGTTCAAGAGTAATATCGCAAAATAGTTTTAAATTTAGCATATCTTTAGAATTTCCGATACAGAGTCTCGCATGCTGGAGATAATTTTTGTTCCTGTACAACGTTGCCATTCTCGCCTTGAAATTCTTGAGTTTGTTAATCAAAAATTTGTTAATGTTTTACACAATAGGAAATCGATAATAAAACAAATTCCAAATTTCAAATTTGGGCTTCCACATGGCGATATTCGCAGTAGGAATTCGTCATTCAAAATTCGATGGCTCTATATACCGTTGTTTTATCACAATGCGAGAAATATACATACCTTTATGGAGATTTTTCATTATTTAATTTCTTCAAATATAATGCAGGACTCTAACATTGGGTGGCAAAAGTTTGAAAAGTGAAACGGACATTTATGGTGAACCAACGCAAAATCGCAAAACGAAAACAATAGTCCTTCAGGAACAAAGCCCCTTTGGACTAATGAGATCTCATCTTGCTTAATAATTAATTTCACGTCAATCAGCTTAATTTTTTTAAATGCAATGGTACAATTAATTTTTGGATACTCTATATAATTAGTCAAAATCAGCAATGTCATGTACCATTTGTTGAGTACCTTCCTTTACAGATAATTCTTAAGTTTGTTAAATTACCATCGCCAAAAGACAATAGCAGTTTGTTTTCTCCCTGTGTTTTTTTCAGTAAATCAGTTCTTTCCCTTCCTAAAGCGGATTGCAAAGCCAGACTTGAAAGACATTCAGCGGTGCTAACTGTCAACCAGAAGCGGTCAGCATGCTTCCCTGAATCGCGGAAAGTTCGTAACGATTTTTAAGGAGTCGAAATAAAAAGTTATATAGATATCTGCGCGAAAAGAAATATAGATAGATGTGTATCTAGGGAAAGGGTATAGCTATATATATAAATGAGGAGAATGTCAACTGTTTTCTGCCATCTGTTTTTTTAAAAAATATTTTTCCCCTCATGGAATGTCGCTTTCTAACGATAAACGTAGGAATAATATTGCTTTTTTATCATTATTATTTTTTTTTATTTTTGCTTTGTATGTTTTGAGGAATGTGGCTGCGTCCGATGAAGAAAACGATTTCGATTCTAACCGCGGGAGCATTTCGATTTCCAATGGATGTCCTTGGTGAAATTTTATTTTTGTCATGTTTATTTTCCCTTCCTTGTTTGGGGAATGGGGGAAAGAAAAGGAGGGGAGGGGAATCGTGATGATGATGATTGTGACAGTGGTTCCGTCGTTACGCCCGATATAGGCAGGGCTTATTTTATTTTATTTTTTTGCTCCATTTTTCAATTTCAAACTCCCCACTCGCTTCTCGTCACCGTTCCTGTATTACTTCGTTTTTATCTTCCTTTTGAAACAGTTGTTTGTACTTTGTAGAGAATTATCGGAACTTCGATCACCGAATCGGCGACAGAAAATATCTTAGAGGGGAGAGAAATATTTACTTTTCCAAGAATTATATGCAGTCTGTATATAGATATTCTTTGTGCGGTTTATGCATTTGTTTCATTAAAACAAGCTGGGATTGAGATTAATGAATATACCTAAAATTGGTAAATTTTATTAAAAAATTGTCCATATAAAGAACATATTGCAAACAAAATTAATCATAAACAATATTCTCATCATATTCTAATGCAAACAGGAATTTATTCCTTCGAATTATAAATAACACGAAGAAATTATGTACGGCAAAGATTTTAGCAAGCCTTTCAGTCAAATATATTTTTAACTGCATAAAATTAGAACATTTTTATTGGTTCTTGCGCAATTTAAAAATAGTTTGATAATGTATATTCATACCAGGTTTTCGTATCATGTAAAACAATTAATCAAATGAATAATTTTTTCTGTGAATAGGTCAATGTCCAAATTTTCCCCTACACCTTACAATGTACAATTTTATTATTCCACTGTTTTTATACAATTCGCTTAATTTAAAATCACATTTATTTGTAATGTTTATAATTAAATTTATGAAGACAATTATAATAATTAAGCCATATCCCATCATTTATGCCTAATTCTTTTATTCTTTCATGATTTTCGTAATGCATAAAACTCACATGAGCTATGCTATCTTAGAAGGCCCTCTATAGCTACAGGTAATTCCGCGAACGGGCTGGCTGCATGGGAGTTTTCGTGGTTTTCCCCATGTGTAACGCGTATACGAGCCATTTTCCTTTGGAAAGTCCTCCACGAAGGCATCCCTCCTCTTTGCCAGATAGCCCTAGTACGCTTTGCCGTAATTAAGTAAACCAAACCAAACTGTAGCTACAGGTAGAACTGTAGAATTGAAGTAGTAGATTGTAGGTAGAAATGTAGGAACTGTAGGGAGGGTTCAATTTCACTGTTGGTCGTAGAGTCCTATCTCACTAACTGTAAAGTTAAGTCCCAAATTTTATGGAGAACACTCCGGAGGACGGATCTCCTTTCCCGCAAACCTTTTGAGAGGACTTGAACTCGCCAGTATTTCAAGTGCTCTCATGCCATGCAGACGCATTTATAAACATCTATGCCTTCTTCAGTATTCAAACCCAGGTCCGATGATCTGAAAGTCAACACTGGTAATCATTTTATCTATCAGGACGGCGAAGGACCTCCCTTCCTTGGTATAGATACTCCCTTAAAATACTTCACTCTAATTATGCAATCAGGCAATTTATTTATTTATAGAAAGGATGCTAAACTCAGCAACTTCTTTCATTAACTAAATTTAAAGCAGAGGTTATAAGATATAATTTCAAACAAGGCGACTGAAAATATACTTAAAAATATCATAATCTTGATGGGAAAGGGGGACAAGTAGATTCTGCAATTAATATAATATATTTTCAATGAATATGAGAACAAAAAAATTCGAAAGTATGTGACAAAAATCTCATACATCAAATGGAAACCTAGTAGTGAAAAGGTTCCAGAATCTGCAATGGCAACAGTCGGATGGGCCGGTTAATACTTTCTCTGAATTTCCTCATAACTATATATAGAGACATATTTAAGCAGTGCAGAAATATAGCAAAGAGTAATAGAGTGACGAGAGTGACGTATACTTTATTTAAATTATCATATATGTATTGCATATTGATGTCTTGCAATCTACAGGAAGTAAAAGCATCAGCGTAACTTCACAATAAATAGGGCAAGGCCCTTAATGCACATATCTCAGAGAAAATATTGCTGATGAATTAAGAAATAATTTTCACTGAGGAATCTAAAGGAGTTATACTGTTTCAACTTGATTATAGATTTTAAAGAGAAAAGTTTAATACGTTGGTAGTACAATCTTCAGTAGTGCACTTAACTGAACCAAAATAAAAGTTATCAACCATATAAGATAAAAATATCTTAGCTGAAGAAATATTAAAAATTTTTAATTTCTTACTTCTATTTATTATGCAGATATTCAGAAACATACACGTACTCCCACTCAGAATCAGAATCCAATTCAACAAATATATCACAAAATAATTTCAAAATGAAGCATATCTTTAGCATTTTCGATACACAATCTCGCGCGCTGGAGACAAAAAAGTTTTTTTTTTTTTTTTTTTTTTTAATTGTACAGTGTTCAATGTCAATCGCTCGCTTTGAAATCATCGAGTTCGTTAATCAAAAATTCGTTAAAGTTTTACAAAATATGAAATCGATAGTAAAACAAATTTGAAATTCCAAATAAGGCTTCCAGATGCCCATATTCGGTGGAAGATTACATAATTCAACATTTGATGTCTATAGGTACCGTTGTTTTATCCCAATGCAAGAAACACACATATATTTATGGAGATTCTTCATTATTTAATTTTTTTTAATTCAACACAGGGCGATAATATTTGGTCTCAACAATTTGAAAAGTGACCCGACATTTATAGTGAATCAACGCAAAATGCCAAAACGAAATTAATAGCCCTTCAGGGCAAATTGTCCCTTTTAACTAAAAAAAAAATATTAACTTTGGAAAATTTTGAAGTTTTTTCACTGTAACCGTGACCGTGAAAGCTCTATTGTTTTACGTCACCATAATCTTAAGCTCATTCCTTCAAATAACAATATTCGAAAGTTCATTCCGTTTAATTGCGTGGATAGGCCGCTAGGGATTCATATATGGGAAAAGTGTTTTTATGACTATTCTCTAGTTACTCCAATGTCAATTAATTTTATTGTATAAAATTCTCTGGACGATTAATTCCTTAAATTCATCCATTAAATTTATACAGACTAACACAACAAAAAACAGCTATTTATTTTTCTTTTATTTATTCATTATTCTAAAGCATAATTTTTATTTTAAAGCCTTCTAAATCAATTAACTAAGCATGATATAAATTAATCTTAGGTTACTTTCTAATTAACCTCCCTCTTATATTACTTTCTAATGTACGAAAATGCATATTAAATTCTGAAGTTGTTAGAGGTAAAATTTGCTTGCATAAACGTGCAAGATTTTTTTTAAACAGTGCGACTCATTTAATGTATATATGTGTGCAAGAAAAAAGAAATGGATACTTTCTGCAGTATCTGGCTTCGAAGGAAAAAAAATTCTATATCCTAGAGATCCAGTTCTACATAGTGGAAGATCAGAGGGTCAAAGATAGCCTTTGGTTCATTATTTGACCCCTCTCTCCCAAGTGAGGTCAAGAATAGGTTGCCTGAGGATAAGGGC